AAGTTGGCCCTAGTGAAGGTCTGTAAACCCTGCTGCACTTCATTGATAAGCCTTTGAAAGATAGCTCCTGAATTAATTAATCCAAAACTCATATAGGCCAGATTCCACTATAAAAGCTGATTTTTCCTGGTCATCTGCATCTAAAGGAATTTGCCAGTACCTAAGAGTCAACCCCAGAGTGTTTATGAATTTTGCGACTCCCAGCAGATCCAACAGGTCTTCTACCTGGAGCATGGGGTAAGGATCAGGTTGGGTGATGGCACTTAACCCTTCTAAAATCTACACAAAATCTCATGGTTTTAGCTCTTTTAGGTACCATCACAACAGTAATTGTTTACTGTCTCAAAGATGTGAAGCCAATAGAAATTCTGTTGGAGTCTATCACAGGTTCTCTCCACTCCTAAGCGTCCAGCAAAGGGGAAATCATGAGCTTCCTGCAGCAATTCTTTCTCATACTTATCAGGCACAAGCACCTGCTTGCAAACCTCTTTTTCCCTATGGGAGCCTCCCTGTACAACAAACCTCCCTCTAGAATAAATCTGCCCTTCCCTACGCCAGTTGGGGTATTATTTTGAGCCATATTTCTCTCCTTTTCTAGGGCTCTTGAGCCTCAAACGCCTTTAGAATTGCACTTAAGAGCAGAATCTGGCAAAGCAGTGGCATCTCCAAACCCCTTCTCTGGGGACAAATTGTTGCTTTCAGCTGACAAAGGCCTGAGTGTGTTTTCCTCCCAGTTGCAGCCCTCTCTGCTGTCCACAGACAAAACAGATGAGATAGAGCCGCACTCTTTCTGGCTGAGAGTTATGATATTAAGCTGCTTAGACATGGCTAAAATATCATTACCTATTCAAATATTAGTGGGAAATAGATTCCTAATGCCTACAATAAATATCTCCCTTAAAATCCTTGCACTGTAGGTAAACCTTGGTCAAAGATACTATTACAGGGAATTTGATCAAAGCTAATATATTTAAACTTTTACCAGGAAGCCTGTCTTCCTCCCATACCAAACTTTCCTTGACCAAAGTGACTTGGGATGCTGAATCCCTCCAGCCCTTACAACCTATGCCATTTACCTTAGCATTTTTAATACATTTTTCACTACCCTCCCAAGACTCGGTCCTCATATAGTTCACTGGGATTTTCTCCTTCTTTACAACTGCCTCTGGAGCAGTGGTAGAGGCATTCATTGTGGCAGGTGGAGGTATAGATCATGGGTTTACCTTAATTTTGGGGCAATTTGCTTTTATATGGCCAGGAGCCCCACAGTGATGGCAGAGTACTTGCCTTCCCTTTTGGTAGGGGGCTTTAAAACCCAGGCTTCCTTGGGCTTAGGTTTATATCCAGTCCCCTCTTCCCTCTTAACCTGGGTGACACATTGATTTCCCTTCCACTGGCATTTTCACCCCCACTATTGTTGTGAGAGAACTGAATTTGACACAATCCGCAGCCATCTTGTACACTTAACCCTCCCTCCCACCCCAAGATGGAACCGAGGACACCACATAGGAATAATTTGGCCTTGCTTAGGCAGACAGAACAAAAACAGCTGCAAGCTGCATTTTTACTGACAGGGATCGATAAAGTGAAAAAAAGATTCATCGTGGCATGTGGGTAGTGGGAATGTGGAGAACTGACCTTGATTTTTGTTGTCCGTGTTTGTAAGATTTTTTGCTGAAGCTGCTTTGCTGATAAGGAGAATAATGAATTGTTATTGCCTGATTCTAGGGAAATTGTTAGTCTATTAGGGTCTATCATGAGTTATGTGTTTTGTCAGAAGAAAATCTATAAAGAGTTTAGTTAAAAAGTGGAGCAGTCTGAGGGAGCTCTTCTTTGAGCAAGGATCTGACACCAAAACTCCCCAGCAGCTTGATGGAAGGAAAGCCCCTGGAAGGCTGGCTGCTGATTCCTCGAAACTATCTTAGACTTTGGTAAATATAAAGGTTTAGGATGCTCTGGACCTACTGCCACAGCATGTGTGACCTAATGAATAGTAGTTTTAGGTGAAAGCACTTGTTTGTATCAATCATTTATCAGACAGAGGAGCTGTGTCCCCACTGATTGGTTCCTGACACCACCTGGAAATAAACAGTTAAACTGCTTTGGGTTCTAAAAACCAGGGGTAACACCATGGGCCATTGAGTCAACATATTCAGCTGCAATTTCTGCAGCCTCTGAAACACTGGAAGGTTTTTAGTCACAGATGGCTGTCTTTGTCTCATCTATAACTACCCATAACAATTGCTCTTGGGCCATCAGATTAAACAGTTTTCCACAATCATCTTCATTCCCCCATCCCCATTATCCATTTTCTCATAAAATTACATATTTTATGTACATATTCAGAATGAGTGATATTGTCAAACATTCTGAGGTTTCTATACTTCAGTCGATTGGTCTCGGGGGGTAATCTTCAATCTTTTCTATATATTTTCTTTCAATTTCATATACACTTTATCATCACCCTCTTCATATCATTAAAAACTTGTCTGGCTTTCCCAGTTAATCTGGTTAAGAGCATAGGCATCTTGTTTATCTGCTGGAATGTTGTCCATCCCACATAGTCTCTCCAAAAGTGGACAGGTACTCTTCTTACAGTCAGTTTCTTTATATGGCAAGACTTCCTCCCACTCCCTTGTGTTGTGGGGGTTGTACTCACTGGATGGAGAAGCTCCTTTTGCTGCTTCAGTATTTTGAGCTGCATTGCTTGAACTTCCATCAGCCTCTGGTGGGCTTTCTTTTCAGCTGCCTCTGGTGGTTTGGCCTCCCTGATCTGCAGTTCTGCCATCAGTCTCTGGTGCCCACATTCTTCCTGGGCTGTCAGGTGCTGCAGTTGGGCCAGTTCCCCTCTGGTGGTGTCTTCTATGGCACCTGAGGCAAGAAAAGAGTTCTCAGGCTCCACCACCTCTTCTTCCCCTGGTGCCTGGTCAAAACTTAAGAACAAAGCTCTCCGCTCCTGATCTGAGGTTTTCCTTTTAAATGTTATTCTCCTCTGCAAGCATAAACTTTCAAGGTCTTGTCTCTCAAGACCATCATACGACTGTGGTTCACTCATTGTGTCGTCTATTCTATAACATTTCAAACTCTCTATATCAAGTTTAAACTTTGACAGCACTGGAGTTATGATCTGTAACCTTAACTGGCTTGCAGCATGTGAATCCTGCCAAGACTACGCCAGTGTCATGGTGTCCTGCAGTGGCTCAAGAGCCTGAGTACAAACCTCAGGGCAAGGCACAAGCTCCAAATTAGTTATGAGTTGTAGCCTTAGATTTACCAGCCAATTATCAAGTATAAACTCCTCAGGCACTTTAACAGCCTAACCATGGAGTCACATTCAGTCTCCTTGGACACTCCAATCTTTCTTGTCACGTAGGTAAGCTTGTCTTTGTGATAGATGGTCCCTTACACCAAAAATCACAATAATTCAGGTTACTCCCTGTCCCAAAGGACCGGTCACTTACCCCAAGTCAGTACCTTAGAGATCACACCAACGACAATGCTTGTAGCCAATCCTATAATAAACTCTCTAAAGATTTATTAACAAGGAAAAGGAAATAAAGTTATTTACAAGGTTAAAGCAGATAAACATGTATACACACAAATGAGTTTCAAAAAGTAATAGAAACTTCTATAATAAGCACGCTCTAGAAGTCCTTTAAGGCTAACCCAGACCAAGCACTGGGGATTTTTTGCTTATGCTTAGTAATCATTGCCCCTCAGAGTCCAAACAGCATAAAAGGTAGAGTTTCTCCTTGTTAGGACTTTTTATTCCTTCCCCTGCTTCTGCTTCAAGTTGCAAATTCAGCTGTTTGGAATTTTCTTGCACATCTCCTCTTCATTGGGGAACGGGAGGGGGAAGAGCAATCAGCAAAGTCTTTTGTCCTCCGATGTTCCACAATAGTTCATCTGGTGTCAATGGGCCTTGCTTGTGGGGCAGGAGATAACATCTCCTCTTATTAACACTAGTTAATGCTTCTCTCCTGTCTGGTGATTTACAATTTCAGAGCAAACCCTTAAACATCACTTTATAAGGTGGGATGCAGATGTTAAATGCAGTGATGAGCTGGCAAAAGCTGAAGAACCGGTTCCTTCAGTCTCTCCGAGTCTTTGGCGGCACTGAAGGACCCGCCGCTGAAGCGCCGCCGAAGACCCAGAGCGAGTGAAGGGCCCGCCGCCGAAGGGCCGCCGAAGACCTGGAGCGCCGCCGGGTGAGTACAAATTAAAAAGGGATTCTCAGGGGAGCCTCCCCAGCCGAGAGCTCAGGCAGGCCAGACAGGATGGTCCTGCAGGCCAGATGGGGCCCGCAGGCCAGAGTTTGCCCACCCCTTTAACAACCGGTTCTAAACCGGCTTCAAAATTTAACAACCAGTTTGCGCAAACCAGTGTGAACCAGCTCACCACTGGTTATATGTGAGATTAATGCATGCAGCAATTTACAAGCATTCAATAAAATTTAAACACTAAGCATATTTTTAAAACTCGAATACCTATTTCAACAATACGAATACATGAGTGAGCCAGACTGGTTCTAGCTATGTATTTGTCTTTTCAGCTGAGATCTAGGGGCCTTGGCATGAGCTGGCACCTGGACTGACCGCATCACATTGAGCACGCAGCCTAACTCCCCACATTGGTGATTGGCCAGCATACTGGGATGAACATCCCTGGGTTTTTGAAGAGGGCTATGGGATCTTTAATACCCACAGGAGCTGAAGACTTTGATTTTCTGTGAGTTTCAAACAATGGCACTTCCACCAGCACGCTTCTTGGCACGATCCTGAGCCACAAGTTCACTTCTGACTCAGAGCAACCCCAGGGCCTATCTACATTAGAAACATTTGCAAAAGTATACACCAGTGTTGTAAAAAGAAAAGGAGTACTTGTGGCACCTTAGAGACTAACCAATTTATTTGAGCATGAGCTTTCGTGAGCTACAGCTCACTTCATCAGATGTATACCGTGGAAACTGCAGCAGACTTTATATACACACAGAGAATATGAAACAATATCTCCTCCCACCCCACTGTCCTGCTGGTAATAGCTTATCTAAAGTGATCAACAGGTGGGCCATTTCCAGCACAAAGCCAGGTTTTCTCACCCTCCACCCCCCACACAAATTCACTCTCCTGCTGGTGCTAGCCCATCCAAAGTGACAACTCTTTACATAATCAAGTCGGGCTATTTCCTGCATAGATCCAGGTTTTCTCACATCCCCCCCACCCCCATACACACACAAACTCACTCTCCTGCTGGTAATAGCTCATCTAAACTGACCACTCTCCAGGTTTAAATCCAAGTTAAATCAGAACATCTGGGGGGGGGGGGTTAGGAAAAAACAAGAGGAAACAGGCTACCTTGCATAATGACTTAGCCACTCCCAGTCTCTATTTAAGCCTAAATTAATAGTATCCAATTTGCAAATGAATTCCAATTCAGCAGTTTCTCGCTGGAGTCTGGATTTGAAGTTTTTTTGTTTTAAGATAGCGACCTTCATGTCTGTGATTGCGTGACCAGAGAGATTGAAGTGTTCTCCGACTGGTTTATGAATGTTATAATTCTTGACATCTGATTTGTGTCCATTTATTCTTTTACGTAGAGACTGTCCAGTTTGACCAATGTACATGGCAGAGGGGCATTGCTGGCACATGATGGCATATATCACATTGGTGGATGTGCAGGTGAACGAGCCTCTGATAGTGTGGCTGATGTTATTAGGCCCTGTGATGGTGTCTCCTGAATAGATATGTGGGCACAATTGGCAACGGGCTTTGTTGCAAGGATAAGTTCCTGGGTTAGTGGTTCTGTTGTGTGGTATGTGGTTGTTGGTGAGTATTTGCTTCAGGTTGCGGGGCTGTCTGTAGGCAAGCACTGGCCTGTCTCCCAAGACTTGTGAGAGTGTTGGGTCATCCTTTAGGATAGGTTGTAGATCCTTAATAATGCGTTGGAGGGGTTTTAGTTGGGGGCTGAAGGTGACCGCTAGTGGCGTTCTGTTATTTTCTTTGTTAGGCCTGTCCTGTAGTAGGAGACTTCTGGGAACTCTTCTGGCTCTATCAATCTGTTTCTTTACTTCTGCAGGTGGGTATTGTAGTTGTAAGAAAGCTTGACAGAGATCTTGTAGGTGTTTGTCTCTGTCTGAGGGGTTGGAGCAAATGCGGTTGTATCGCAGAGCTTGGCTGTAGACGATGGATCGTGTGGTGTGGTCAGGGTGAAAGCTGGAGGCATGCAGGTAGGAATAGCGGTCAGTAGGTTTCCGGTATAGGGTGGTGTTTATGTGACCATTGTTTATTAGCACTGTAGTGTCCAGGAAGTGGATCTCTTGTGTGGACTGGACCAGGCTGAGGTTGGTGGTGGGATGGAAATTGTTGAAATCATGGTGGAATTCCTCAAGGGCTTCTTTTCCATGGGTCCAGATGATGAAGATGTCATCAATGTAGCGCAAGTAGAGTAGGGGCTTTAGGGGACGAGAGCTGAGGAAGCGTTGTTCTAAATCAGCCATAAAAATGTTGGCATACTGTGGGGCCATGCGGGTACCCATAGCAGTGCCGCTGATCTGAAGGTATACATTGTCCCCAAATGTGAAATAGTTATGGGTAAGGACAAAGTCACAAAGTTCAGCCACCAGGTTACCCGTGACATTATCGGGGATAGTGTTCTTGACGGCTTGTAATCCATCTTTGTGTGGAATGTTGGTGTAGAGGGCTTCTACATCCATAGTAGCCAGGATGGTGTTATCAGGAAGATCACCGATGGATTGAAGTTTCCTCAGGAAGTCTGTGGTGTCTCGAAGGTAGCTGGGAGTGCTGGTAGCGTAGGGCCTGAGGAGGGAGTCTACATAGCCAGACAATCCTGTTGTCAGGGTGCCAATGCCTGAGATGATGGGGCGCCCAGGATTTCCAGGTTTATGGATCTTGGGTAGTAGATAGAATATCCCAGGTCGGGGTTCCAGGGGTGTGTCTGTGCGGATTTGATCTTGTGCTTTTTCAGGAAGTTTCTTGAGCAAATGCTGTAGTTGCTTTTGGTAACTCTCAGTGGGATCATAGGGTAATGGCTTGTAGAAACTCGTGTTGGAGAGCTGCCGAGCAGCCTCTTGTTCATATTCCGACCTATTCATGATGACAACAGCACCTCCTTTGTCAGCCTTTTTGATTATGATGTCAGAGTTGTTTCTGAGGCTGTGGATGGCATTGCGTTCCGCATGGCTGAGGTTATGGGGCAAGTGATGCTGCTTTTCCACAATTTCAGCCCGTGCACGTCGGCTGAAGCACTCTATGTAGAAGTCCAGTCTGCTGTTTCGACCTTCAGGAGGAGTCCATCTAGAATCCCTCTTTCTGTAGTGTTGGCAGGGAGACCTCTGTGGATTAGTATGTTGTTCAGAGGTATTTTGGAAATATTCCTTGAGACGGAGACGTCGAAAATAGGATTCTAGGTCACCACAGAACTGTATCATGTTCGTGGGGGTGGAGGGGCAGAAGGAGAGGCCCCGAGATAGAACAGCTGCTTCTGCTGGGCTGAGAGTATAGTTGGATAGGTTAACAATATTGCTAGGTGGGGTGAAGGAACCATTGCTGTGGCCCCTTGTAGCATGTAGTAGTTTAGAAAGTTTAGTGTCCTTTTTCTTTTGTAGAGAAGCAAAGTGTGCGTTGTAAATGGCTTGTCTAGTTTTAGTAAAATCCAGCCACGAGGAAGTTTGTGTGGAAGGTTGGTTCTTTATGAGAGTATCCATTTTTGAGAGCTCATTCTTAATCTTTCCCTGTTTGCTGTAGAGGATCTTGATCAGGTGATTCCGCAGTTTCTTTGAGAGCGTGAGGCACAAGCTGTCAGCATAGTCTGTGTGGTATGTAGATTGTAATGGATTTTTTACCTTCAGTCCTTTTGGTACGATGTCCATCTGTTTGCATTTGGAAAGGAAGATGATGTCTGTCTGTATGTGTACAAGTTTTTTCATGCAGTTGATAGATTTCCACTCCATACGCTAAATGCAGTGCCTTGCATAATGACAGGTTTCAGAGGAACAGCCGTGTTAGTCTGTATTCGCAAAAAGAAAAGGAGGACTTGTGGCACCTTAGAGACTAACCAATTTATTTGAGCATGAGCTTTCGTGAGCTACAGCTCACTTCATCAGATGTATACCGTGGAAACTGCAGCAGACTTTATATACACACAGAGAATATGAAACAATACCTCCTCCCACCCCCACTGTCCTGCTGGTAATAGCTTATCTAAAGTGATCAACAGGTGGGCCATTTCCAGCACAAAGCCAGGTTTTCTCACCCTCCACCCCCCCACACAAATTCACTCTCCTGCTGGTGCTAGCCCATCCAAAGTGACAACTCTTTACATAATCAAGTCGGGCTATTTCCTGCATAGATCCAGGTTTTCTCACATCCCCCCCACCCCCATACACACACAAACTCACTCTCCTGCTGGTAATAGCTCATCTAAACTGACCACTCTCCAAGTTTAAATCTAAGTTAAATCAGAACATCTGGGGGGGGGGGGGGGGGGGGTTAGGAAAAAACAAGAGGAAACAGGCTACCTTGCATAATGACTTAGCCACTCCCAGTCTCTATTTAAGCCTAAATTAATAGTATCCAATTTGCAAATGAATTCCAATTCAGCAGTTTCTCGCTGGAGTCTGGATTTGAAGTTTTTTTGTTTTAAGATAGCGACCTTCATGTCTGTGATTGCGTGACCAGAGAGATTGAAGTGTTCTCCGACTGGTTTATGAATGTTATAATTCTTGACATCTGATTTGTGTCCATTTATTCTTTTACGTAGAGACTGTCCAGTTTGACCAATGTACATGGCAGAGGGGCATTGCTGGCACTTGTTGTGTACATCAAGTGTTGTGTTGTGTACATCGGTGCACAGTCCTAATGTAGCTGCACTTCACCATCGTAAAACAGGGTTTACACTGCTGCGATTAATCCAGTAAATTACTGGAATAATCTGCATTGGTGTAAACCCCACTTTACTACATCAGTGCAGTGCATCTATATTACAGGTTTACACTGGTGTAGTTACACTCACTAATTTCTGTTGTAGGCAGGGCTTTAATGAACTAGCAGTATCATTTCTTGAAACACCTTTTCCCCAGAGGTCTCACAGCCAAGGCCTGCGCTGACCTGTCTCAGCTTCTGGGATCTGTGTCTCACCTTGAGGTGGGTATGGGTCAGACCACACTATGCTTAGGAAAAAGAAAAGGAGTACTTGTGGCACCTTAGAGACTAACCAATTTATTTGAGCATGAGCTTTCGTGAGCTACAGCTCACTTCATCAGATGTTTACCGTGGAAACTGCAGCAGACTTTATATACACACAGAGAATATGAAACAATACCTCCTCCCACCCCACTGTCCTGCTGGTAATAGCTTATCTAAAGTGATCAACAGGTGGGCCATTTCCAGCACAAAGCCAGGTTTTCTCACCCTCCACCCCCCACACACAAATTCACTCTCCTGCTGGTGCTAGCCCATCCAAAGTGACAACTCTTTACATAATCAAATCGGGCTATTTCCTGCATAGATCAAGGTTTTCTCACATCCCCCCCCACCCCCATACACACACAAACTCACTCTCCTGCTGGTAATAGCTCATCTAAACTGACCACTCTCCAGGTTTAAATCCAAGTTAAACCAGAACATCTGGGGGGGAGGGGAGGGGAGGAAAAAACAAGAGGAAACAGGCTACCTTGCATAATGACTTAGCCACTCCCAGTCTCTATTTAAGCCTAAATTAATAGTATCCAATTTGCAAATGAATTCCAATTCAGCAGGCACACCTGTTGATCACTTTAGATAAGCTATTACCAGCAGGACAGTGGGGTGGGAGGAGGTATTGTTTCATATTCTCTGTGTGTATATAAAGTCTGCTGCAGTTTCCACGGTAAACATCTGATGAAGTGAGCTGTAGCTCACGAAAGCTCATGCTCAAATAAATTGGTTAGTCTCTAAGGTGCCACAAGTACTCCTTTTCTTTTTGCGAATACAGACTAACACGGCTGTTCCTCTGAAACCTGTCACTATGCTTAGGGTGACCATATTTCCCAAACAGAAAATGGGACACCATGTGGGGCTAGCCGGAGCCTTCCCCCGTCCCCCCATGCAGGGCTGGCGCAAGCCACTCACCTGGGGCCCTTCCCCCTCCTGCCCCAAGTGAGGCGGGGGCTGGCATCACCGCTCGCCCCTCCACACACACGCACGTTCCTCCACTCCCCAGTTTTGTGACAAAAGTGGGCATTTGTCCCCTTTGCTCTTGCCAGCTGATCAAGTTGCCAAGAGCAAACGGGACAAATGCCCACTTTTGTCAAAAAAGTTGGGGCTGCCGAGATAGGGCATAAAAAAGGGACTGTCCTGGCCAAAAAGGGATGTATGGTCACCCTAACTATGTTCTATGGGTGACATTTTCAAAAGTCTCCTAAGTGACTTAAGAGCACAAGTCCCACTGACTTACTTGTTCTCCTAAGTCACGTAGGAACTTTTGGAAACTTCACCTTATAGCATTAACTTCATGATCAGAGTACATGTTAATGTTAAAGTGTGAAGCAAAGGGTAAAAAAGACTGCAGTCCCAATCACTTCCAGCCCAAATGTAAGAGGGTCACAAATAAAATGCTCAGAAAAGAGAAGGGATGAAATGCTGATGCAGAGACAGTATGAATGAACATTATGAATCCCATTACCAGGGCTGGTATTAGACTCGTTTGGGGCCCGAGCAGAAACCAAGGAGTTGGCTCCCACCTTCCTCCCTTACCTACTCACACATTGGATTTCTGCATCATTTCTGAAGCTGAAACACAAGCCCCCACCATGCGAGGCAGAAGCCAAAGCCCAAGCCCAGCTGCTCGGGGGCCCCGAGCAATTGCCCTGCCTGCTACCCCCTAATGCCAGCCCTGCCATTACATTTACATCTAGCATAGCAGACTGCTGCAGGCAGGAATTACTGGTAGTCTAAGTTGCTGTAAAGTCTTATTGCATATAAAACCACAGTAATCATAATGCCAAAGAATAAGGCAATGATAAATGAAAAAGCTTTCAGAAGTTAATGTTCACAACACTGTCAACAAACCATGATCTGTTTAATTAGTTACCTGCCATGAGATGCCATTCAAGGCTACATTCTGAGAGATTGTGAGTATACAGTAGTAGTATAATACAGTGAGACAGATATATTAAAAATTTAAATATACGTCACTGGTAAAATGCAGACATTGCACACTAAAAATAAACACACCACGTTGTAAATGTAACACACTTCATCTCATAATGGGCACTGAAAACTATGCCACCTATGAAACCAGCTGCACCATCAGCAGAAGCTCCTATTGACCCAGATGCTTTACCTACTACAGACCCAGATGGATTTCCCAGCTCTTTGTTCTTATGGCTTAGATACTCCAAGGCCATGATCCTTAGGTCCATCCTGTGGTTTCAAGCTTGGTGAGGGGGTCACGTTGATTCATGTCATGCCTTTGTTGACCACCAAATGTCCTCTTATTGCACTCACTGTCCATCCTTCTGGCTCTTGGCAGAATTCCCCACCACTCCATATCTACTGTCACTGACAAGCGCAAGTTAGAGGGTAAATTCCACGTTCTATGCCAGAAAAGCTTCAAGCTCTCTCAAACTCTCTTACAATCCATCCCCAAACTACTGTAAACTGGGTCCAAACCTGCTCCTTTACCTCCAAGTCTAAATGTAACTCTGGCTGCAATCAACACTGGATGCCACTAGCAGGTCCCCCTCTGTGACATCCCAGCCCAGTCTCTCTCTCTCTTCAGCTCCAGGTTCAGGCTCCCCAGTTGCTTCTGCTGTCAGAACCTCTCTCAAAATCTAACTCCCAGTCTGTGATCACTGACCAGTTGCAGAGCAACAATTCATGGGAAACTCTACCGTCAGCCCACACAAGCCTCACCAACCCATGTAAGCTTCAACTAATAACTTCTGTGCTCCTCCCTTTGGCTTGGCTATTCTCCTGTACCTCACAAGCCTCATTAGAAAAACAATAATCTTTCCTCATACCTGCTTCATTGGGCTGACTTTTCAGTTCCAAGGTTCACACTAGAACACCACTATAACTGAATGCCACTGTTAACCGTCGTCTCCCTGGAAGCTGATGCATCAGGTTTGAATAGGTGATGAGTACATTTCAATTACTGACTTATTGGATGCAGTAGATGGCACCATGAATTCAGGTTTAATGTGCATATCTCAGACCTTGTTGATTCACCTTTCACCTACTGCAGAGAATTTTACCCTAATTTTTCTGGGGCTATATGTGGCCCTATTGATGTTTTTTCAACAGGCCATATATTCCAGTCCACAAGTGGTAACTTTAATTTAGGATCTGTCTAAATCAGTTGTGATACATCTGCATGAAGGGATGACCTGTCTGATTCAATAGGCAATAAGCTGTTTCAGCAAGCAATAATATACTTCAAGGAGATGAATCAGGTTCCTCAGGTAATCTATTTCCCTTTCTCACAAATTATTATGAAATAGGTGAAGTGGATCAAATCACCCATACGGTGTATCTGTTTCAGTGGGTGATGTAAACCTGCTGCTGTCAGTGTTTGGTTCAGATTTCCCATGTCTTTCTCGTTTGGGGGCTGACTGGCACCTAATCGAATGCCACTTCTTTAAGAATCAACCAGAAATAATCCAACCAGAACAATTTTTATTGATAAAGTTGAGCAGCAGAATATCAGGGTCACTTATCATTTTGTACGTGGGGAAGAGAGAATGAAACCTTTATTGGGAAATCCTATATGACAGGAGCGTACGTAAGCTTGTCAGAGATAACACACACACACCCCAGTAATATACTGCCTGATACATACAGCTGCAGTCGATAGCCCTAACCAGACATGCTGTTTCAGCAGTTCACAAGGTTTAAATGACTTCATCAAAATGCCTTTGAAGTTTTCATTTCTCTGTATTTTTGCCAGGAAAATGTAGTGTCCATGCACTTTGTAAATGAAGCTTGCACATTCTCAGCCTTAAGGTAGGGCATGCAGAGCTTCTTTTG